GAACAAGCACCTGCAGTAGTATAAAGAGCTGTAATGGCATTTAAAGCAGCAGACCAATCCACTTTTAATTTGAGAGTCACCGTCTTGGCAACAAAACAGACTCACTGAATAAGCATGGTTACATACAGTACGCAACCTTTACATACAGGATACAATCTTTTTGAAGTGCCACTGCAGCCACAAAGAAGGCTGAAGTACAGGTGCAGCCTTTGTTCTAGTCTTTGTGGCATAAAGAGCCAACAGTCTTTTCCTAGACTGGTATCATTACTATCACTTCACTACATTCCCAGCAATGTCTGTTTGTTGAAGTCACACTACAGAATATGAGTCCCAATTTAAGGCCCTAATGCTGCAGTGGTCTTTTTTATGCTTTCATAAAGTTAGGCCACAGAAAACAAGCCAAATGTGCATCAGAAAAAAGAGGCAATGTATTTCAAAAATAATCATGCCACACTGATAAGGTGCTACAGCAGGATAGAGTTGACAGCAGGGTCGTGAGTTAATAACAGAGGGAGGAGACACCCTAGATTCCTGCACCCAGCTAAACAACCAGTTCTGGGAGGCAGGAGTTTGTAATTAGTTGTCTGCCCGAGACAGAAACTCTAGAGACAAAGCAGCAGTTGTGTAGTTATCAGTCTTTTTGTTTTCTGCCATCAGCTTTAGTTCAACATTTTATTAAGGTCATTAACAGCTTTTGATTTAGAGGAAGATCTTTTTTTTAATATCACTGTTTATGTCTTAACATTTGATGTCTAATTTTCTGCGTTTTTGTCCTGGGAGCTGCAACAAAAACACCAAAAACTGTCTAACCAGCTGGCACAGTAAGTTATGCATGGTCACAGTGTTTAATTATATCTACTTTCAGGTACACTTGAATACACCTGCACTGTTTATGGCTACATTAATCTTCACATAGTTAAATCATTATGGTGCATGTTTGTCATCATCTTATTCTTACCCACAGCAACTGAGAAAGCTACATAACACAATGCGATGGGTTTCATGTTGTTGTTTTGTGGAAGAGCTGTACATCTGTGTTGGTCTGTTTGCCTTGGTTACGGTGTTGACCATGGCTGTTGTATCTGGGTGTGGAGCTTACTGTACTGTTGACCCTGAGATGGAGAAGTGTTGATTCTGACTGGTTTGTGTTGACCTTTGTCCCTTCTGTGTTGACCTGCTAAACTCAAGGAAATGCGCGTACTTTGTCTTTGTAAGGAAACATCTGGTGAAAAGTCAAAATTCACCAGATACTATTTTACTAACATGCAAAGTGTATGTCTGTGCATTAAAGTGCTAATTACCTGATGAGAAACTATTTCTTTTTGTGTCCTCAGGATTGTTACAGATTCATGGAGAAGGCACTGACAGTAGTTCTGCCTCTTTTTCTTACACTTTGTGTGAACATGCCAGAAGTTGGCGGACAGAAGGAGGGAGCCCAGGTTGACAACAAAGGTTCATCACGTTCTTCAGAAACAAAAACAGGCCGGTGCTCTTACACCTTCATAGTGCCTCAGCAGAAATTGACTGGGGCGCTGTGTCTGAACACGCAGCCTGCTCCTACCAACCATTCAGAGGTGTCAGCCTTATGGGCAGAGCTCAAACGACAGCAGGAACTACTAGAGAAGCTAAGAAGCCAACTGGAGCAGGAAGGGGCCCTTGCCATTGAAGTAAGGGCCTTGCGCAAAGAGAGCAGCAGTATGAATTCTCGCATCAGCCAGCTCTATGCTCAGCTGCTACATGAAGTTATAAACAAGAAAGATCAGGCCTTGGAGCAGCAAAAGGTGGAGAACCTTCTGCTAAATGCGACAGCACAGGTGAGTCTAGAGCAGTGGAACTAGATGTTATACTCATCATTGTCAAATGTATCCTTATGCTGTGAATGGTTGGACATCTCAGGCACTGCAGGTGTCCAGGGATTACAGGGAGCTGGAGAAGAAATATGGAGCGCTCACCTCTATGATGAGTTCACACAACCAGTTTATTGCCCGTTTGGAGAAGAAGTGCCAGTGCAGGGACTCTGCCCAGTCCCCTCAGGTAGGGGCAAAAAAACCAAATCTTACATCTGTCTCTTTATACAAGATTTATAAAAAAGGACTCAGAATATTTTTTGGATTGTTTTTTTTTTTTTTTTTGTCTGAACAGGTCGTTACTGAACCACCCAAAAGTCAGTCAAATGTGCATCTGAATTACAGTTCTGAAACCAACCAAATGACCATTGATGTTCAACGGGACCAAAGTGCTCTCCCATTAGAGCAAGCTCAAACAGGAGGAGGTCCTTTCCATCCCCCCACTACCACCAGCAGTCCTACAGACCCTTCCTTCTTTAGCTTTCCTGTCACGAAAACTCCAGGTAGGTCAATATGCAAGCTTTTTTCCAAAAATGTTTGAATGCTGTGTTAGATGTAAATAAAACTTGGAGTAATTCTTCACTTAAACACAATATTAAACATGAATTCTAATGAATATAGTTCAAAGAAAACACATCAAATGTGGGAAAAATGTTTATGTTGGCACAGGGTCATGTTTACCCCACATTACATCTCTCCTTGAGTTAACAATGCTGTATTTGGGAATTGATGAGACCAACTGCTGTAGGTCTAAAAAAAGTTTTCCCAGCATTAATTGTCCCTCCACACATATGCAAGTCACCCATGCTATGACAGATAGCGGTCTTTTAACCATGCACTGATAACAAACCAGATGGTCCCTCTCTTCTTCTGTGTCGAGGGTGCAACACCCATATCAAACACAATTTCTGTTTTCACTGAAATTAGCTAGGCCCAGAAAGGAAGTGAACTTGACTGTATCAATGAAGCTTGATGGTTGAGCGCTCTGTCATCGTAGAAAGCACTTACTTTATGCATCTTGACAAATCTTTCTGTTGTTTTATTTACATTTTGAAAAATATCTCTGCTTCTTCAAAGATAGAGTTGAAAACATGGTTTATAGTAGCCCCTGATTAGAGTTATTTGGTGTTTATATATATGTCTATCTCCTGTCAGATTTATTTAACTGCTTAGATAAGCACCAGTGGCTCTTGGAGTCAGTGACCTGCTATTATCTGTCCACCCTGGGAACCTCAGCTTCTGAAAATAGCAGCTCTTGTCACAGCACAAAACACTTTCTAATGAAGACATGCACAGAACAGTTTTTGAACTTTTTATAACACTTCCCTTTCGAACTTGCAATTACAAACCAGAGAATATGAGCTGCAGAACCCAAAAGGATGAAACATCTGTGTGACTCAACACTTCCTCCAATGTGTAACGAGAAAGAGAGAGAGAGTTCAAGTCATGAAAGACCATTAGGGCTTATCACTTGGTGTAATAAGCCCTAATGGTCTTTGTATACATTGTTGTTTGTGCACATTCCTATGTCTATCTTACCAGTATGGCATGAGATACTGAACATGTGCTGGAAGAGAAATAATAAGATCTGTGATTTTCCTGATGTCCAAACTGAATTTCAAAACCCTCTCTTAGAAGCTTAAAAATGTTATATGTTGTAATATTACATCATTATATTTGCATGTTGCTTTTATTAGTCACTTGCTTGTATTTTCCATTCACTCAGGGCCATGGCGGGACTGTCAGCATGTGTTCGAATCAGGTGAAACTACCAGTGGGATCTATTTGCTCCAGCCGCAGAGTTCCAACCGACTCCTGCAGGCCTGGTGTGAACAGAGTCAAGCTCAGGGAGGGTGGACGGTCATCCAGAGGAGACAAGATGGGTCAATCAACTTCTTTAGAGACTGGGAACAGTATAAGGTATAAGTCTGAAACTAGCAATTTAATTTAACACAATCAAGTATTTCATCGTGAACCTAAGAGTGTTACAAATACAAATTTACTTCCATTTAAAAATCACTTAAAACCTATGTTGTTTTAAAAAAAATGCACATAAAGAATATCATCAAATTAAAATCAGTAACAGCTGCAAAACTTTAAAGCCAAAATGAAAAACTCTAGATAAAATGTCTGGGATCATTTTGAAATAAATGAAGTCTCACTGTCTCTCAGGCCTAAAAGAGAAGAACTTTGCATCTTTACATTCGTCTAATAAAATTAGTAAGTAAATACCAGCTTTATAATAAGTGAGTGAGCAGTGATGTTAACTAAACAAATGAAACTCAAACTCTTCTGAATTGGATGCAACAGAAATGAAACATGACAAAGGCTATGCTCATTTTACTTATCCATCCATCTTCTTGCGCTTATCCAATTCAGGGTTGCGGGGTAGCTGGAGCTTATCTCAGATGTCATAGGATGAGAGACAGACAACCATTCACACACATTCACATCTATGGGCAATTTTAAATCAGTTAACCTAACCTCACTGACTGCATGTCTTTGGACTCTGGGTGGAAGCTGGAGTTCCCAGAGAACATGCAAACTCCCCAGATTGAACCCAGGGCTGTCTTGATTGTGAGGCAACAGTGCAATGCTAATTAGTATTACTAAGGAGAAAGGGCTTGATATTATCAATAGATAAAAAGTAATAAGTGAAAACATACCAGAAACTTGATTAAAACAGATCCTGGAGGTGTGCACGTATGCTCTTCAGAGCTAATAAATCTACTAGACATTGCTTACTCTGGAGATCTGCTGTCTAAATGTTGCCATGATGAATTTGTGCAACTTAGAGTGATTAAACCTGGTTACTTATGTTTTACAGCAAGGCTTTGGGAACCTAGATGGAGAGTACTGGCTTGGTCTGGAAAACCTGTACTGGTTGTCCAAACAGGCTCAGTATAAGTTGCGGGTGGCCCTGGAAGACTGGCGTGGCCGGCAGGTGTTTGCTGAGTATGACAGTTTCTATGTGGAACCAGAGAGCGACTGGTATCGACTGCGGTTGGGACTGTATCACGGCAATGCAGGGGACTCCCTCTCCTGGCACAGCAACAAGGCCTTTACAACTTTGGATCGAGACAAAGACAGCTATGGCGGTCTGCTCTTCCCCTGGTCCTACCTGATTGCTATCTGTTGTATAGTGACATTTCCCTTTTAACATCTTCATTTTCTTCTGTTGTGTCATCAGGTAACTGTGCTCATTATCAGAAGGGAGGCTGGTGGTATCACATGTGTGCCCACTCCAATCTGAATGGTGTGTGGTATCGTGGTGGACACTATCGAAGCCGGTACCAGGATGGCGTTTACTGGGCAGAGTTCCATGGAGGATCGTACTCCCTTAAACGGGTTTCCATGATGATCAAACCCAAATAACAAGGTTATCTTATGGACATTTGCAAAGGAAAGACATGATGTGGATGATCTTCACATATGTGCAGAGAGAATAAAACAAACTCTATTTGTAACTCTACGTTTAATAAAAATGATATTTTACAATTAACCTAGTCTGTGACACGTGCATGAACTATGAATAACCGGATGATGACTAATACTGACTAACTTGAGAAATCTGCTGTCGGTCGTGCAATTTCCTAACAGAATTTGTATGGCCCAATATTTCTTTTTTAAATCGCATAATTTTTCACTCCCATTTGGACAAAAAAACAGGGGAGAGAAACAAAAAAA